CCCAAAATTCCTCCATAGCCAATCTAAGGATAGAATTGTTGGCGTGAGTTGTCCTTGAGCAATGGAAGGGCGGATCACAGGCGGGAATCCTGCACTACAACCCCTCAATTACAGGGTCAATATCAGATCCACAATTGTAGCCTTAATATTTGTAGTCCCTGTATAGCCCAACTCTACCTATATATACACAAATTCTGTAATAATCAGATGAGTATGAATATAAGATTTTGTTTCATTCCAACATGGTATCAGAGCATTTTTCGATCCTCTATTTTTCGTTCAACCAACCATAGTAAAACAGAGCACCATTTTTCCTCCCATGGCCGACGATGAGGCTCACTCGGGTGAACACCCAGGTGAATCACCGACCACTACCTCCATTCTATCCGAACTGACAGCAAGAATGACGGAAGCTTTGAGCAAAGCTCCAACTCCCATTTCGATCACCGATTCAGGAACTGCACCGATTGGCATCAAACTGGATGGTACGAATTACGCTCTCTGGTCCCAAGTCATTGAGATGTACATCTCTGGCAAGGATAAACTCGGCTATATCAACGGAGATCTCCTTCAGCCACAAACAACTGACTTGTCTTTCCGTAGGTGGCGGACCGAGAATGCAAATGTGAAGGGATGGTTGATTAATTCGATGGACCCATCCCTTATTGGCAACTTTATTCGATTTCCAACGGCAAAACAAGTTTGGGATGCTATTGCAACTACATACTTTGATGGAGGTGATGCAACCCAGGTTTATGAACTCCGGCGACGGGTGGCACGGCTTAGGCAGGGCAGCGGCTCTCTAGAGAAATACTACAATGACCTCCAAGGTTTATGGCGGGAGATAGATTTTCGCCGCTCCAATCCCATGGAATGTCCAGCAGACATCCAACACTTTAACAATATGCTGCAGGAGGATCGGGTATATACTTTTCTTGATGGTTTGGATGATAAACTGGATAATATTAGAAGTGATGTGTTGCAACTTAAACCATTTCCTACGGTGGAACAAGCGTATGCCCACGTTCGCAGAGAAGCTGTTCGTCAAGCAGTAATGACAGCCCATGATGGAGAAGACATGACTGGGGCGGTGTTGGCCTCACAGAGTCTCAAACAGGGACCCTCCACTCTAGCCAATTCTTTGTCACTAACTGGAAAGTACAGTTCAAATTCTAAGTCAAAAGGCCCACATGATGGAACAAAATGCTCCCATTGTGGAAATTCGAAACATACCAGGGATACGTGCTTCAAACTGCATGGCTACCCAGATTGGTGGCATGAGTTACAAGCAAAAAGACGACAGGATGGGAGAGGGAAAGATGGTGGAATAAGCAAAAATGCAGTGAGCAGCACTGGCAAGGCTGCAGTAGCCTCTGCTGAGCCACAATTGTCCCTTATCCCTGCAGCAACTGTTGCTTTGGATGAAGGTATGGTTTTTCTCGGGACCAATTCCACTGAAACTTATACCGATTGGATTCTTGATTCAGGAGCAACAGACCACATGACATATGATGCCAGTAATTTTTCAGAACGATCATCTCCTCGACGTACTAGCATTGCTAATGCTAATGGAGACATATCTCTGGTAAAAAGGGCTGGTACCGTAAGAATATCACCAGCCCTCTCCTTGACTAATACCCTTCTAGTGCCATCATTGTCACATAAATTATTGTCAGTAAGCTAGATCACGAAGGAATTAAATTGTGTTGTTCTAATTTACCCTACATTTTGTCTTATTCAGGATATTCTCACCAAGGAGATAATTGGGCGTGGTACTAAGAGGGGGGGCTCTACTATATGGACGATTTTGGCATCGGTCGAGCTAATCATGCGAGCAGTTCCAATGATCGAAACAAGGCAAACATTTGGTTGTGGCATCGTCGGTTAGGACATCCTTCATTTGGTTATCTGAAACATGTTTTTCCTACTTTATTTTCGGGTTTGTCGGATTTGGAATTTAAATGTGAAACATGCATCCTAGCTAAAAGTCATCGTGTTACTTTTCCCTTGAGTTTGAATAAAAGCCAGATACCTTTTGAGTTGATTCATTCGGATGTGTGGGGTCCATCTCCCAAATCTACTGTATCTGGTGTTCGATGGTTTGTGATTTTTGTGGATGATTGTACTCGGCTGACATGGCTATATTTGATGAAACATAAAGATGAAGATTTTTCTATTTTTTGCTCATTTCATGAAATGGTTAAAACCCAGTTCTCTGCTACGATTCGCATACTTCGCTCTGATAATGGTGGCGAGTATGTGAAACGGGAATTCCGCAATTATTTTACCAACCATGGCTTGCTTCATGAAACCTCCTGCCCTAAGACACCACAACAGAATGGAATTGCCGAGAGGAAAAATCGACATATTTTGGAGACTGCTCGCGCGCTTCTCCTTGGCGCTGGTGTACCTACTCGTTTTTGGACCAATGCCGTCACTACAGCAGTGCACCGTATTAACCGAATGCCTTCTAAGGCTCTTGAGTTTCAGACTCCTCTCCAGGCTCTATCCACTACCATTTCACTACCTACAGCCTTAATGCTTCCGCCTCGAGTGTTTGGTTGCGTTGCTTTTGTTCACTTACATAAAGATCAGCGCACCAAACTTGATCCTTGTGCCGTTCGATGTTTGTTTCTGGGATATGGTCCACATCAAAAAGGATACAGGTGCTATGATCCGACTACCCATCGTACCTATGTCACGATGGACGTCACTTTCTTAGAATTAGAGATTTTTTTCTCTTCTGCCACATCCACTTCTCCTCTTCCGGAGGAGCCTAGGAATGAAGAGTTGAATTGGCTGAGGTTTGATTGGCCAGGATTTAATGAGTCTGTTGTTTCTATACATGATACAGAGACTGGTGTTCTACCATTAGGATCTGAGGAGACCAGTGATGAAACTAGTGAGAAGCAGCAGACCTCTGAAGCAGAAGTAGTACCCCCTTTCTGCCCCACAGTATTCACAGACCCATCTCCTGAGAATACTCCTGAGGTAAGGTCCCTGAACTCTCCAAGTTCACCTCTATTAGCTAACAATACTCATGTGAGCTATGAGTTACCGTACAGGCATAACCGAGGTAAGCCACCAGACAGATACTCTCAAGACATTGAAGGCCAGAGGTCGAAGTACCCAATTGCCAACTATGTATCTACGAAAAGGCTCCCCGAATCTCTCAAGGCTTTCGCAGATAGAATCTCCTCATGTCAAATTCCTACGAGTGTTGAAGAAGCAATGAAAGATCCCAAATGGGTCCAGGCTATGAAGGAGGAGATGGAGGCGCTGTTGAAAAATAAGACATGGATTCTTGCCACTTTACCTCAAGGGCAGAAGACAGTAGGGTGCAAGTGGGTGTTCTCGATTAAATATAAAGTAGATGGAACAATTGAGCGGTACAAGGCGAGACTTGTAGCAAAGGGATTCACGCAGACATACGGAATTGACTATCAGGAGACCTTCTCACCCGTAGCCAAACTTAACACAGTGAGAGTATTGTTGTCACTTGCTGCAAACCTTGATTGGCCTTTACACCAGTTCGATGTGAAGAACGCTTTTCTGCATGGAGACCTAGAAGAAGAGATTTATATGGATATTCCTCCGGGATATGTGGCCAACACAGAAGACAATGTTGTTTGTAAATTGCAAAGAACTCTATACGGACTGAAACAGTCGCCTCGAGCTTGGTTTGGGAGATTCAGTACGGCAATGAGAAAGTATGGGTTCCAACAAAGTAATTCTGATCACACCCTATTCTTGAAACACAGACAGGGCAAAGTGACTGCTTTGATTGTCTATGTAGACGATATGATCATCACAGGAGACGATTCAGAGGAAATAACAAAACTTCAAGAGCAGTTGGCATCTGAGTTTGAAATGAAGAACCTGGGAGGACTCAAATACTTTCTGGGAATTGAAGTCGCTAGATCGAAACAAGGTATATTCCTATCTCAGAGAAAATATATTTTAGACCTTTTAACAGAGGTTGGATTGCTAGATTGTAAGCCTGCAAATACTCCAATAATTCCAAATCACAAACTTGGGGAATATCCCAACCAAGTACCAACAGACAAAGGGAAGTACCAAAGATTGGTGGTCAAGCTTATTTATTTGTCTCACACGAGGCCTGACATTGCGTATGCAGTAAGTGTTATAAGTCAATTCATGCACTGTCTGAGTGAAGATCATATGAGTGCTGTCATGCAGATTTTAAGATATCTAAAGTCCTCCCCTGGAAAAGGGCTCCTGTTCTCAAAGAATGACCACCTAAGAGTAGAAGGATATACGGACGCAGATTGGGCAGGGAACATCATGGATAGGAAATCCACCTCAGGCTATTTCACCTTTGTTGGAGGAAACTTGGTTACTTGGAGAAACAAAAAACAAAAGGTAGTTGCACTATCTAGTGCCGAAGTTGAGTTTCGTGGAATGGCTAAAGGGCTATGTGAATTACTGTGGCTTAGAAGACTATTAACAGAGATTGGTTTTGCTTCCAACTCTGAGATGAATTTGTTTTGCGACAATAAAGCAGCAATTGATATCTCCCATAACCCCGTACAGCATGATCGGACGAAGCACGTGGAAGTAGATCGACATTTCATCAAACAAAATCTCGATGCAAAAATCATCCGTTTTCCTTTTGTGAAGTTTGAGGACCAACTAGCAGATATTCTTACAAAGGCAGTGTGCAATAAAATATTCTACAACTCACTAGACAAGTTGGGACTCATCGATATATACGTACCAACTTGAGGGGGAGTGTTGGCGTGAGTTGTCCTTGAGCAATGGAAGGGCGGATCACAGGCGGGAATCCTGCACTACAATCCCTCAATTACAGGGTCAATATCAGATCCTCAATTGTAGCCTTATTGTAGCCTTAATATTTGTAGTCCCTGTATAGCCCAACTCTGCCTATATATACACAAATTCTGTAATAATTAGATGAGTATGAATATAAGATTTTGTTTCATTCCAACAAGAATAACATTAAAATCACTTCCCACCATCTAGGTAGAAGAGGCAATCACAGGAAACCCAAAAGATGTTCCCATAAGGGTCTCCTCAGCAGGCATAAACGATTGTGATATATACCACATCTGACCCAAAAGAAGAAACTTCAGCAGTTAAGGCATGTTCATGCTAAGCCACTGTACGAACCTACACTCTATCATCTTATAGTACCCACAAATTTCTTTCAGCTAAAGGATTAAAAGCATAATGAGGTAAACCTATTGACATTACATAACCACGCAACTTTTTTCATTCCCATTTTTGGCTCTTGTATGGACACCATATAGACATCATTCATTCTTACCATCTTTTTGGCCTACTTCTCTACACATCTTTACCAGCTCCCCTTATATTCCAAGACAAAATATTAATCATTAAGGGAAGAAGAAAGAATACCTTTGGACCTTAATCTAAAAGAAGCTTCACTAGAAACCTCATTTAGAGCACTGGAATCCAGATCCTCCTCCTCCCCCAATTCCTCCAAGAATGACTTAGTTCTGTTTTCAAACACAAAACTCCCTTTATCAGACAAGTAACCCTTATCTAGGGGATCAGTTCTCCTTACCAAACCTACATCGTCATCCATTGAAACATTCATGCCGTTCCATGGAGAATACTGGTGGTCCACGTAAAAAGAATCCTTACCTGAAGGAGAAAACTGCCTATTCACCAGACAACAGTCCAGATTTGCAAGAACCTCCCATAATTTATTCAAAGGAGTCACACCTATTCTTGCCAGAACATCTTCATACACAAACTTCTCCGTCTGCTCAGTCTCAATAGCAACATCACCAGAGTGCCCAACACACACTCCCTTGCCTGCATTCTCCCTTATTTCCATTACAAGCTATTCCTCATTGATCTTTAGGAATTCAATTTTCCATATTCTCCAGTTCTGCTCCCAAAGAGGACTTTCACACTCCAACACCTTATCTGAATTAAGGTCAACTATCTACCTTTCCAGAATACGAAGAGGCTCCTGACCCTTTAAGAGCACCACACCTTCTAGACCTAACACTAATCCTTCCCTATTATTAGCAACAACCCCCCTTTCACATTCAACCTCTTCAGTTCCATTCAGATCCCCATTTAGAATTTGACGACTCTTCTCCGAACCTTCCCCCTTTGTACAGAACCATGAATATCAGGCTCCTTTAATATAGCAATAATGATAATTTTTACCATCAAAGAAGAAAAAAGGTGGTTGTGCACTAGTCGATATGCTGATTCCACTTACCATTTTGATCTTCTTAACCTAGAACTTTGTTTATCCAATGATAAGCTTCATACCCAGCTAGGTAGTGTTGAACTAGCCCTGATACCAATTATTTGGCTATAATTTTAGCCTTCGTATCTTTCTGATAGAGAAAACAAAGACAATGTCAACTAGTCTTTAGGAATATTTTTTCATACGAATATCTTCCCAAAAATTGTTAAATTCATTAGAATTGTACTTACCACCTCCATCACTTCTCATCACATTAATGTAGTATCTACTTTGCCTTTCAACAAACTTTTGAAACTTCTTGAATACTTGATAACTTCAGATTTTTGTCTCATAAAATAACTCAAGTCATTCTTGAAAAATCATCAACAATGAATATGAAGTATGAAAAGGTACTCTTGATTGTCTGGTATCAGCCTTTAAGAAACCAAAGATATTTATTTTTTGGGTGTTCAAGATTTATTGGGTTCCATTAAGGCATTTGAGCAAAAGTTGAGTAGGCATGCCAAAAAATTTGTTGAGAGTGTTTTTTAATCTAAGCTTAATGTTGACTCCAAAAATTATAAATTGTCTAGGGTCATTTCTCAACCAGTCATTTAAAAAGTGAATGTCTTTCAGTGTTACATTTTAAAATTTCAAGTTTTGGGAGGACGCATGGGTACCTCATATAAGTGGTATTGGTACCTAGGCCTTTTGTTTGCCTGGTACCGGTAATTAGGCCTTTTGTTTGCCCAATACTGATACCCATATAACTTGGTACCGGTGTCGGGGCCCAATGTTTTCTAGGTACCGGTAGTTATGTGTACTGGTACTGGTACTAGAGTCAACTATCTATTGGGGTACCGGTACTTGAGGCCGAGGTATCGATTCTTGAGCCTAATATAATCAAGGTACTAGTACCTATAAGCCTAGGTACCAGTACCTAGGTTATTCGACTGCGTGGTACCGATACCTATGAACCTAGGTGCTTGTACCTGAGCCCAGATTTTTTCCAATTTCATCCAATTCTTAACCTTTAACCATCCAATCTCATTCCATATTTATCCAAACTCATACAACATTCATTTACATCAAAATAATTGTCCCAAAAGAGTTCACTACATGCTCTTTTACCAAAATTACATGTTTGTAAGAAATTACATAATCTGTTACAAGGATGTAATTTAGCCATAATCTGACTCCGCCATCAACTAGGGCCCAAGTGAGGGCCATCTTTCGGCGGTTGTTCAACAACTGAAATATGTTCTCATAAAGGTGAGTCACGCTCAATAAGGTATCTCCTACGGAGGCTACTCCCCAACCAAGATGCATATGAAATGTCACATGCAATTCAACAATTCAAGCATCCATTCAAATAAATTTATTTTTCAAGTGAATGCTACCAATCCATGCCATGCCTTAAGATGAACATGCAATGCAAACTCGAGCCCTCCATTGGCTTCCACAACACATGTCATGTCATGCATATGCATTTGGGCATTACAAGCCTCTGTCATTGATGTTAAATATCCAATGACCATTTTATAAAATCCTTGTGTCTTTCTTGGGTGGGTATTTATGGACTTGCACCAACGGGTACCCCACTGATACAACATCTATGAAATTATACCAACGGCTTAGTGTACGCAAACACAGTTATGAACTCAATACCAACGAAAGTACATATCCGAAGTCACCGATTCTGGCACCCGAGGAAGAATCTGGCCCTTCTTGCTAACCACGACACATATTTTTAATGCAACCCATGCGACTCAGTTGAACCTGGGTCCAACCTTTTCGAGCCCACATATCAACCCACCAAGGATGGTATTTGATCTAAACCATGCATACACACACCCATTCATGTTGAAGGCCCACGAATGCGATGCTACCCGTGCATATAACAATGTAATGTAGAGTTGTAACTACAATATCATGTTCATCATGTCATGTGCTTATTATGAACAAATTCAATGTCTACCGACCTTCTCCAATTCCTCAAATGTCTACTATATCATAAAGCATATAATTACAATCCAAAACACCACCAAATGTGTTATCGCATATTCAATACACATAACACACTTAACAAACCATGGGAATTTTATCAAACACATTCAAGGCACAAAGGTTACGTAAACACAACATGCTCAAAACATAACTTTCCTCATGAAATTCAAAGCCAAGTAATTTCATCATACCAAATCATACAAGAATTGGTTTAAATATTCTTATACCCATTTCCATATTCTTCTAACTGTAGGTATGTGTTGTACATGAGATTTCATCTCTAACACACTACTCATTTCATATTTCAATCATAGCTTGGAAATAAATCTAATTAGGAAAGGAACCCTACCTCTTGAAGCATATATTTGCATAGAAGAAGCTCCAAAAGAACCAAATCAAACTTCTAAGCTTTGATCGAAAAAATCTTGTCTTCGAGATTGTGGTGAAACCCATGATATTTAGTATGTACGTGTACCTCTCGTCGCATAGAACATCTTTATCTCTTGTCCCGAGGATATTCGACAGTTGGATCGTCGTAGATTGAAGGGAGAAGGTGGGAGAACCTTAGTTTTCTATCTCTTATCTCTCTCGCTCTCTCTCTTCCTTTTCTGGCAGAATGCTGGTAGAACAACTTTTTCTCTCCTTTTTACACCCTCAAATGCTTGGCTCTCATTAAGCCACACGTCCCATCTTTCTGATCCATTTTTGTCTTGAATCAACTAAATCTCATCGCGGGATAAGTTTACTACATTTTTATTGAACTATCTTTAAATTATTTCTCAAATTTTGTAATTAAATCCTAATCTCATTTATTTTGATCGCATGATACCCGATTGCCTTGTAAAATGTAAGAAATCTAACTATCTTGGAATTAGACAAAAATTAATTTCGTAACTAGATTTTGCAAGATGAATCCAACAATAAGGTCCATTTCACCATCCGAGTTTTAAAAAAATGTGGGTTTTGAACCCTTACAATAATGGTTAATTACCTTTTTGTCCTTTTTTCATAAAATTTTAATTTTTCTTGGGTTTTACATTCTTACTCCTTAAAGAAATTTTGTCCCCAAAATTACACACACATGTACATATAATAACATGCATATGTAACAATTAATAAAATTCTCTATAACTACATGAATGTACTTGCAACAAGAACCGATAAGTAGCATGGATAGTATCCTCAAACTCCCATGTCACCTCCTTCATACCATGGTGCTGCCATAACACATTCACCAGCCTCACAGCCTTATCTCACAAAACCTACTCTCAACTTTTTATGATACGTATCGGTCCCTCCTTGAAGGTCTCATCCGCAATAACAACTAGCTCACCCCAATCCACCACATGTGTAGGTTTTGAAGTGTGGTTCAGGAGCATGGAGACATGGAACACCATGTGAACACTAGATAGATTTGACGGTAATGCCAATCGGTATATGACTGTACCAACCCTCTTGAGTACCTCAAATGACCTAATATACCTCGGTGATAGTTTCCTTTGATTTTCAAACATGAAAACTCTACTCTAGGGTATAACCTTCAAGATTACATGATTTCCAACCTCGAACTCCAATGGTCTCCGCCGTCTATCGGCGTAGCTCTTCTGCTGGCTCTATGTTGTAAGAAGGCGCTTCCTTGTCAAATCCACCTTCTCCGATGTGTCTCTAATCAAATCTAGACTCGTGAAAGGTCCTTTTCCAACCTCTAACCAACATACCAAAGAACAACATGACTTTCCATAAAGTGCCTCGTAGAGTGTCATTTATATGCTCATCTGATAACTATTATTGAAAGTAAATTCTACTAAGGGTTAGTGCTCCTCTCAGCTATCCTTGAGATTAAGGACCTTGCCCAAAGTATGTACTCTAAAATCTGGATTGTCCTCTCCGATTGACTGTTTGTCTGAAGATGGAAAGTTGTGCTCATCATTAACTATGTCTCCATAGCCCGCTGAAAGCTCTCATAGAAGTGAGTTGTGAACCTAGGATCCCAATCTAATACTATAGATACGGGTACCCCATGCAGTCAAACTATTTCTCGTATATATAACCTATAGAATTCCTCTACTGTGAAGGTCATCCACATAACCAAAAAATGTGCTGACTTTGTAAACCAGTCCACAATTACACACACCATTTCATGCCCACGAGAAGAACATGGTCTTTGGTGCTAAGCATCGACCTGTTGACATGTGAAATAGTTACTAATAAAGTCTCCATCGTGTCTCTTCGTCCCATTCCAATAGTACTGGCAGTGAAGATCATAATACATCTTCAAACCAGTTGGATGCACAACAAATGGGAGTAATAAAACTCCTTGAGGATCTCTTTCAGATCCATAGACTGGGAAACTATAACCCTTCTCCTGAATTAAAGACTACCATTAGTGTAAATGGCCCAGTCCTCGACACCAATACCCAACTGTACCTAGTCCTCAATGGAAAATATCTCCTTGTCTTGCCCATGGGACTCGATCACCCTGCTCAATAGGGAAGGCGTACCCACCAGACTTCCCAAAATATCCTAAGCCTGATCTCTATAGTTTAGCCCGAACTATCCTATAGTCTCGAGCATCTAACACTCCCAAGAAGCTATACTAACCAAGACTCCTTGTAACTTTCGATTGA